ATTTTATAGTGGCCACCAGGTTGTTTAAACAAAAATCATAACTCATGAACCATAAGAGATAGAAATATGGTGTCTTGAACAAAAACATGCGTCGTTTAAAGTTTTAAAAGTTTCTAGAACAAGGTCGATTTTTTTATATAAGTGATATTAGGGTGATCCAACAAATGGGTTAATGGAAAATCAAACTTTTTTATTATTTGGAATGGACCAATTAAGTGCTATAAAACGTTATAGAACAATCAATTTGAAGCAATTTGGCTGAAGACATAAAATTTCTATCTCTTATGGTTCATGACTTATTATTTATTTAAACAAGCAGGTTAGGGTGGCCCCTATATTTTTTTTCTTTGAATATCTTTTCATACGATCATTTCTCGTAAACACTTTGTTGTAGATACTTTTAGAACTTTTAATGACGCATATTTTTGCTGAAAAAGTCGTTAGACAAAATAACAATTAAAATTTTATAAGGAAAGGCTACAATTAAGATCCCTTAATTTTATTTGAAGTTCTTGGAGCTGTCTTGAAGTTTACGTAGATCTCTAAACTGCTAACTTCTCTGAACTTTTCAGTGTTTCTTAAAACTCCCTCACTTTTTTATGTCCATGTAAATATCTAGATATTCCTTGATTTAGTTGGAAGCGCTTGTAATTTTTCTGTAGTTTTTGAAAGGTTGATGCTCACGGAACGTGCTTGAAAATCACGAAATTACCCTAAACATCACTAAACCTCCCTGAAGTATCCTCAATTTTACTAATCTACATGATCTTTTCTGAGCTTCTCGTCATTTTTCTTGAATTATCGAAGCATTCGGCACACTAAGATTTTATTTTCGTTTTCGAAATCAGAACAGCTGAACGTTCGGTAAAACTTTGAAATTCATTTTAAAGGCTATTAAATTTGAAAAAAAAAATCTAAATGGCGCCGGTGGTGTAGTGGTAAGCGTGATTACCTCTCACCCCAGCAGGCCTGGGTTCAATCCCAGTCGGCGCCGCCGGGATGTTCTGAGGCATAACATCTCTGATCACGCCTTCCTTCGGATGGGAAGTAAAGCCGTTGGTCCCCGGTTCATGAGTTGATGGGTGGATAGGTAGGGTCCAGGTGTGGGAGCTGCCTTCCTGGCACGTCGGTAGCATTGGTGCTCAGCACGGAAAACAAGATCGACGGAAAAAACAAACCAAACGAAAAAAAAAATTGAAAATAATTTCAAAACGTGTCAAACCTTGTGTAAATGATCAAATCTTGTCATTTTAGTGGAGCTTTAGTTTCAAAGTAGCTGAAAAGCATTTGAATTGAATTGCATAAATTTTAGCAAACAGTTCATGAAGTAGTCAAAAAAACATATTTGCAATTTCTCTGAAGTTATTAGAACAGCTTTGAGGTTCTCTGATTTACTCTTTTTTTTCGATTTCTTCTTAGAGTTATCTGTGAAATTCCAGAATGTTTTTCAAAATTTGTCTAAACTTCTGAACTTCCTGAAAAGCTGGGAGCTTCTCAAAATGTTTTATTTTATTTTCTTGAATTAATGGAACTGCAATGATCTTACCTGAAGTACCCGCAACACTTGAAACTAGTGGCGCTGGTGGTGTAGTGGTAAGCGTGATTGCCTGTCACTCCAAAGGGCCTGGGTACAATCCGAGTTGGTACCAGCAAGATTTTCTGAGACATAAAATCTCTGAGCACACCGGGATATAAAGCCGTTGGCCCCGGTCTATGAGTTTATGAGTCGATATGTAGGGTCCCAGGTGTGAGAGCTGGCTCCCTGACGTCAGTAGCATTGGTACTCTGTACGAAAAAAAAGATCGACGGAAAACAAACCAAGACAAAAAAAAAAACACTTGAAACTACCATGAAGTTTACGAAACATAACTTTAAATGATCATTCGAACCATCATTGAACTTCTGTGGAGTTTCAGAAGTTATAAAAAAATAACTGGAGTTCCATGGATTTTCCTAAAGATCCCAGAGCTTTAGTTAGTTTCCCATAATTTTTCTGAAATCAAAACGATTTAATAAATGTAATTTTACGATTTTCTGTGGAGTTCTCGGTTTTTTTTTCAAATTTTATGAAAAAACTTTTAATTTATCAACACTAATTCTGTAGGCTTCAAACTACTCCGAAAGTCCTGGTGTTCTCAAAGCTTCCCTGAAGTTATTGGGACTGCTCTAAAGTTCTCTTTACTTTTCTAATGTTCTCTAGGCTGAATATATTCTTTGAAAGTTTCCTGACAATAATTGAACTAGCTTAAAGTTATTTGATCTACGCTGAAGTTACCGAAATGTTCCTGAAGTTTGAGAAACTCGTGGAACATTTTTTTGAAATCTCTAATTTTTCGTAAATTTCCACATAAACAAAAGCTTAGTAAGCCTGATTTTAGCTGCACAAGGCCGATTTGCAACTAAAATTGTTTGCTCGGTTCCAAGAACATCCCTGGAGATTTTAGTGCTTCCCTACTAGTTCTTCTTTATTTTCTGATAACCCCACATTTCCTGAAATTATAGGAATATTTCCAATTTTTTTGAAAATTGCCATAAACTGCTTGATAGTTTTTTTTTTTTTAATTTTCTTGATTAATGCTGTGAAGTTCCTTGATCTTGCTTAAATTTCTTGGAACTTTCCTTAGGATAGAGAATCTACCTAAAATCTCTAAACTTCTTTGGAGTTCATTGAATTTCCCTGAAGATCTCGGAAATTGTGGAAGGTTATTTTTTTCTAATATTAATAAGACTGCCTTGATGTCCTTTGATTTTCCCATAAAATGTTCTTGCATTTTTCTGGTGGTCATGAACCTTCCCTTGGATTTCGATATTTTCGAGAAGCTCTCGGAACTTTCCTAAGGTTTCCGGAAATTCTTGAGTTCATTAGAACTACTTTGAAAGTTCCGTAATTCCATTGATGTTAAATGAACTGCCCAGAGGTGTTCTGATCTCTCTGCTGTTCTTCGAGGTTTCCTGAAGGTCTCTTTATTCTCCTGAAGTGCTTCTTCGAAACACTGAGATGAATGGAAAGTGCAGGAAAATGTCTCAACATCCTTGAAGGTCGCCGGACTTTCATGAAGTTCCTGAAATATTTCTAAAATTTTCAGAGATTCTCTGTAGTTTTCTGAACATCCCTGAAATTTTTGAACCTTAAGGTTTTCAATCTTTTCCTTAAATTCTCGGAATATCCCTTAACTATAGGATATAAAACTATAATTATAGAATGCTAGGGGTACGTATTTTGATGGGTATAGAATTAAGGTTCTACTTCCACTTTCATTTTAAAATTTGGCCGGCCCAATTCTTAGAAAATCAGACTTGAACATTCAGTTTCAATTTTGGTAAATGCTGCAACTTTAGGAGTTTTAGTGTACTTAAATTGTTAAATATATTAAACCAGTTACTTACGAACTAAACTTCAGTCAATACCATTCAAATGACGTATGAAGATCGAAAGTCAGCAGTGGCTGAGATATGAGCAAAAAAATTACATGTTTTTTAAAGGGTGACCCCAAACTTATACTCGAGAGATAACTGGCTCCGAACAAACTGAAAATTCATCAAAGCTCTGTAAAAGAGTTGAAAACCTTTAACCAGGGTACCAGGTAACTTGTGTATAGAATTAGTTTGTTTCCAAATGCTTGGAGTTTCAAGATATTTTATTTTTTTCAACTAAGGTTGCACTTTTGCCCCTTATTTTAAAATTTTGTGTTGCATTATTTATCTAATGATTGAGTTCATTCAATCATTGATATTTCAGAAATCGTTTTCAATTTCATCCCTGGATTATAAGCATCAAACAATTACATATATGTCCCGTAACGTGGGTGGATCACCTTTTCGTGGTACGTAACGGGATGTAAGATCTACCTCCGATTCCTAGTCCTGACTACTTCCAACTAGGGGAAACGGATTTTTAAGTAATCAAAGGAACACATCTTAGTCCTTGTTACTTTTTATGCCTTGTTGATAGTGACAAGATTCGGCCTTGTCCACCGAGGATGATTTTGAAACAAGTAAAAATGAGTTAGTTAGTCTTCATCTATGTGATTCCTAATCTTATATTCGTTGTTCCCTAGGTTTAAGTGGCTAAGACTAGGGTTCAGATGCATGGTCATTATCGGATCATTCCTTAAAGTTGTTGTAAGGAATCCAATTTTGACTCCAAAGGCGCAGCGTGCTCTTACTCTTCGAAGGATTTAAATAGCAGGATCTTTCAATTAGAATGAGAGACGAACCAGCCCAAGGCTGAAAGTCTCTTTAAGAAAGAAAGAAAAAGAAAAAAAAAAATCAATTAGAATCGAATCGATGAGTGTTCACTCGGCTGTCGACAAAACCAAGCCACTCTTGATGTGTGCCACGCGATCGTCTGTTTTGTCGGCAGCAACCATTGTGTGGTCCTCCTCATTGTTCTTCATCGGCAGTTCTTTCGGTCGATGCGTCGTCGACTTTGGAAAGCAACCGTCTCGTGATGAGTGTGAGAGTGCTGACCACGTTTTGTGTTCATTGCTGCAATGGAAGCGCTCTAACCCTCGTTGGCGCTACTGCCATACAATATGGAACCACTGGAAGCGGCTCCAGTTCTGATGGAGGAGGCTTTTTGGATAGCGGAAGATAAAGTGTTTATTGTGTTGTACCTTTAGACTATAGTTTTAAGATGTATTGTATAGTGACCAAGAATCCTTGGCTCTGTAAAGTTAATTCGTTTGAGCCTTATCAAATAAATTAATAAACAACAATTAGAATCGATTCCTTGCGATGAAGGGATGAATGACAACTGTATCAAAACCAAATACTTCATCATTTCTCAATACTGATGGAGTAATACCACATGCACTAAACTAAGGACACGGGATATACTACAAACGATCGAATTACTGGTCGCAGTGGTGTTCATAACGCTTAAATTTATTCCAGTACATTCCATACATTATTTTGCAAATAAAACTAGAACCGATTTTCCCCGTGTCACTAGCAATTGCTTTCCCATTTGGTTGCATTATAACTAGATGCCATCTGCCCTACAACGGTTCAACGTTCAGCCACAATCCACCTTCGGAGTTGGAAACGATAGTAGTTGGCACCGTCTTCAGCGGTAGCTCCATCTTCGGTGACAAACTGAAGCGGAAATGTTTGAGCAAGTACGCCAAACCAATGCAAGCCTGCATCATTCCAAACCGCAACCCGATGCAGATTCGTGGCCCTTCGCCAAATGGAATAAATGCCATCGGATGTCGCCTGGCAACTTCTTCCGGGCTAAAACGTTCCGGGTCGAACTTATCCGGATCCGGATAGTAGCGTGGATCATTGTGAATTGCATGAACGGAAATTATGAGCCCGTGACCTTTCTCCAGAGTGACGTTCATGTCCGGAACGTAATAATTCTCGGTGACCTGCCGGATGATGGTCATGAACGGTGGGTACTTGCGAAGCGATTCTGTAATCAGAAAAATTCAATCAGTGTTATATTTCCAGCCTGGATACCAACTAGACATACCATTTATACAATTTTCAATATATTTCATCTCATGCACAGCTTCATAGGTCATCGAGTCATGTTGGGCCAAAATTTCCTCAACGTTTCTCCTAGCTTTGTCTTGCAGGCCTGGATTATGAGCCAGTTCGTACAGGCAGTAGGACAATGTGCTAGATGACGTCTCGAAACCGGCTAGGAAAAAGACAAATGCTTGGGCTGCAATTTCTTTAAACGTCAATTCGTTTTGCTCAGATGGTCCTAACTTCAACTGCATCAGCAAATTCATGAAATCATTTCTCTGAACATTGTGCTTTTCCCGATACTCGATGGTATGACGAACCGCATTCATGAAGAATTCCGAAACATCTACATCGATAGTCCGAACTCTTAACATCCCAGCAAGAGCCCTAAAAGACGAACTGAACATTCGTCGTAGAAACTGCGATCTGGTCGGTATCACTGCCTTTCTTCCCATCACTCGAAACTCCGCTTCAGGATCCTTCAAACTGTTACAATCCAAACCAAAAGCACAATTTCCAATCACATCTGTCGTGTACCGTGCCAGGAAGTCTTTCATTTCAACCTCCCTCCCGTTCAGCGCGGCAGTCGTTAAACACTTGACAAACTCGTCGGCCACGGCCGTTATCGTGGGAAACATCATCTTCATCTTTCCGGTGGTGAACGTTGGCGTCAGTTTCGCCCGCAGATTCTTCCACCGGGTACCTTCCAGTGAAACCAAATGGGAATTGATCGGTTCTACCTCGTCGTTGTAGTACAATCCTCGATCGTGGAAGTACTGGAAATCCTTCACCATCACATTCCTAACAAAGTCCAAATCCAAAACCAGTGCCATTGGGCGAAGAAAGAAGAACATTCCGCAGAACTTTTTGCCGGAGGCTTTAAGTTGCTCGTAAACATCCTGATTTATGAGACCAACGTGCTTTCTGCCGAGCTGTCCCAGATTTCCCAGCGGGAAAGAGGGCTCAACGCAAGGAACTCCGCGTAGCTTCCAGTAGGAATACCTCCGTTTGACCCAACAGTAGGCCAACGCTATCACCGTGAGCAAGTAGAGGATAATCATCGCTTAATCAATTTGCACTGCCAGAGCGCAACGGTACGACTGAGCTGCAGTCGAGTGCATCTTGGAGACCAGGGCAGTTGGTAGGGGAGGACGGGGTAAGACCGCCACCCCAGCAATAAAAGTCGTAGCTCAACATGAGCAGAAGATGTCCTTCGCCTCGTTGAAATTGATTGACTGCGATCACAGCGGTAATTGTTGTAACTCGATGCTGCAACCAAGAAAAAATCGTTGGTCTTAGTACGCATATACCACCCACGTTTTGGTAGTACACAGGTATGAGGCCTCGGTGTAGCAATATCAGGTAGTAGAGTGAAATCAGACGTAGGCCTGAACCTGTTACCGGGAGTTGCGAGCTGCTTTCTGTGCTTATAAGCAGAGGTTGGCGATTGATCGCTGCATGCACTGTTTCATAATTAGGTGGTTGAATTTGAACTGGCGATGACGTAAGCACAAAGCGGTCGGTAAGAGTATTAGCGATTACAGAAATTACCTCTGTGATTCTGAGTCTGGAACAGCAGTTGGTGTCTCGGTTCCTGCAGCGGTATCGATCGTTGTTGACACTGGTTTAAAATAAAAGCTGCTTTTCATCAAAACGTATTGCACATGGTCATGTTTCAGTAAACAAAGGAGCTTACTTCAAGTCCGGTAAGCACAGGCCTGATGATGCTAAAAAACGATACAAACCCATAATGCATTACATCAAATCACATGAGAATCTGAAAACATGATTAATAGACAGATAAATCAATAGAAATGCAACCTTATGAATGCAAAAGGTTCCATCAAATGCAAGAAATCATCGTTTTTACATTTGAAATTTGTTACTTTCAAAATTAGATCGTGAAAAGCCCCACCGAACGAGATGTTTCTGTTTATCTATTGTTGTGACGATTCGTATGTTTGGGAGCTACAAAGCATTTCACAATTATAAAAATACGATGGTAATCTTTTCTGTACTGAATATTCGCAAGAAGCTTGAGAATTTCATATAGAACTGGCTGTGGTGCGTCTTACCCCGTCCAACGTTCTTGCCCTACATGTTATCTCGAAGAAAAGAAATCAACCCATGCCGTCGTTGCGTGGCTATGTGGGTTTTGCGTTCGCCTGAGGTAATTATATGGCATTGTGCTCTTTGAATGCAGCAAAACTTGTTATCTTTTTCCTTTTTAACAATAAGAAGGGTACAAGAAGGTAGGATTGACAAGAGACTGCACTGCCCATATTCACATAAGTGTTCCATATGAATTGGCAATCAAGCATAGGTGGGACTGATATGCGATTATCGGCAGTGTCGCTCAGCGATGACTTTTGAACTGAATAATAAATATGGACAGGGTTGGACTGCTCTTTTGTGACTTTTAAATTGCTATTTAATATCGAATTATTACGTTAAATCCAATTGAATAATCAGTTATCCCATCTTAACATAGATTGTTTAGTGCTATTGATCTCAAAATTCAAATTTTAAAATTTTCGCACCGTACACTCTGTGTTTTCGTGAATTGGTCGGTAAATGCTGGGTAATGCGCAATACTGATCCCATTGAGATCACTAGCCTCTTCCCAGCAACTCCTATCCCTACCTCCCCGTGGTACCGGCCGGGAACTGTGAGCAACCTTAGGGAAGATCGGGTAACCAACCCCGGTGGGAACTTTGGTCATAGGCAGAAAGGGAAGGGGGGGGGGGTTTGCTTCGGCAAGCCTGAGCGTCCGTTCTCCAGGAGGAGCGGCTCACAACAGCGTCTGTTCCCATGCGGCTGATCTACGTCCGAGTGCCAGTGAAGGACTCTAAGCACAACTGTGCACCCTGGTCCTCCGGAAAGTTAGGGGGTTGGTGTCAGGCCCTGCGAGCCAGCCGTAAAAAAAACATTGCAACGGAAAATCAGCAACAGAGGAATACGAACCGAGACCAACGGCAACGACCCCAGCGACGAAATAGGACTTGCGATTGGAAACTCGGCACGTGGAACTGTCGATCTCTCAATTTCATCGGGAGCACCCGAATACTCGCCAATCTACTGAAGGACCGCGGATTCGGCATCGCTGCCCAAGCCACGACGTCAAGATCATCATAGGAGACCTGAACGCTCAGGTAGGCCAGGAGGAGGAATTCAGACCGACGATTGGAAAGTTCAGCGCCCACCAGCTGACGAACGGGAACGGCCTACGACTCATCGATTTCGCCGCCTCCAAGAACATGGCCATACGTAGCACCTTCTTCCAACACCACCTTCCCTATCGTTACACCTGAAGATCTCCACAGCAGACGGAATCGCAAATCGACCACGTTCTGATTGATGGGCGGCACTTCTCCGACATTATCGACGTCAGGACCTATCGTGGCGCTAACATCGACTCTGACCACTACCTGGTGATGGTCAAACTGCGCCCAAAACTTTCCGTCATCAACAATGTACGGTACCGACGCCCGCCACGGTACAACCTAGAGCGACTGAAGCAACCGGATGTCGCCTTAGCATACGCGCAGAATCTCGAGGCAGCGTTGTCAGAGGAGGGCGAGCTCGATGTGCCCCCTCTAGAGGACTGCTGGAGTAAAGTAAAATCAGCCATCACCGACGCAGCCGAGAGCACCATCGGGTACGTGGAAAGAAGTCGACGGAATGAATGGTTCGACGAGGAGTGCAGAGCGATTTTGGAGGAGAAGAACGCAGCGCGGGCGGTAATGCTACAGCATGGAACCCGACAGAACGTGGAACGGTATAAACAGAAGCGGAAACAGCAGACCCGCATCTTCCGGGGAAAAAACGTCGCCTGGAAGAAGCGGAGTGCGAGGAAATGGAACTGCTGTGCCGTTCCGAAGAAACACGGAAATTCTACCAGAAGCTCAACGCATCCCGCAACGGCTTCGTGCCGCGAGCCGAAATGTGCAAGGATAAGGACGGGAGCCTCTTGACGGACGGACGTGAGGTGATTGAAAGGTGGAAACAGCATTTCGATGCGCACCTGAATGGCGAGGAGAACGTAGGCACGGGAGACCAGCGAAATGGAGGAAACGACTACGTCAGTGCAGCAGAGGACAGAACTGACCCAACTCCCACGCTGAGGGAAGTTAAGGACTCCATTCAGCAGCTCAAAAACAACAAAGCAGCTGGTAAGGATGGTATCGCAGCCGAACTCATCAAAATGGGCCCAGAAAAGTTGGCCACCTGCCTGCACCGGATGATAGTCAGGATCTGGGAAACAGAACAGCTACCGGAGGAGTGGAAGGAGGGGGTAATCTGCCCCATTCACAAGACAGGCGACCATTTGGAATGTGAGAACTTCAGAGCTATCACCATTTTGAATGCCGCCTACAAAGTGCTATCCCAGATCATCTTCCGTCATCCATCACCTAAAACGACCGAGTTCGTGGGAAGTTATCAAGCTGGCTTCATTGACGGCTGATCGACAACGGACCAGATCTTCACCGTACGGCAAATCGTCCAGAAATGCCGTGAATACCAGGTCCCAACGCATCATTTGTTCATCGACTTTAAGGCGGCATACGACAGTATCGACAGTACAGAGCTATGGAAAATCATGGACGAGAACGGTTGCCTGGGATGCTGATCAGACTGATCAAAGCAACGATGGACGGTGTGCAAAACTGCGTAAGGGTTTCGACTGAACTATCCAGTTCATTCGAATCTCGCCGGGGACTGCGACAAGGTGACGGACTCTCATGCCTACTCTTCAACATTGCTCTAGAAGGTGTAATGCGACGAGCCGGGCTCAACAGCCGGGGTACGATTTTCACGAAATCCAGTCAATTTGTGTGCTTTGCGGACGACATGGACATTATCGCAAGAACATTTGGAACGGTGGCAGAACTATACACCCGCCTGAAACACGAAGCAGCAAAGGTCGGACTGGTGGTGAGTGCGTCAAAAACAAAGTACATGCTATTAGGCGGAACCGAACATGACAGGATTCGTCTAGGAAGTAATGTCACGATAGACGGGGATACTTTCGAGGTAGTGGAGGAATTCGTTTACCTTGGATCCTTAATGACGGCTGACAACAATGTGAGTCGTGAAATACGAAGGCGCATCATCAGTGGAAGTCGTGCCTACTACGGGCTCCAGAAGAAACTACGGTCAAAAAAGATTCACCCCGCACCAAATGTACCATGTACAGAACGCTAATAAGACCGGTGGTCCTCTATGGACACGAGACATGGACTATGCTCGAGGAGGACCTGCAAGCACTCGGAGTTTTCGAACGACGTGTGCTAAGGACGATCTTCGGCGGTGTGCAGGAGAACGGTGAGTGGCAGCGAAGAATGAACCACGAGCTCGCTGCACTCTACGGCGAACCCAGCATCCAGAAGGTGGCCAAAGCCGGAAGGATGCGGTGGGCAGGGCATGTTGCAAGAATGCCGGACAACAACCCTGCAAAGTTGGTGTTCGCTACTGATCCGGTTGGCACAAGAAGGCGTGGAGCGCAGAGAGCACGATGGTCGGACCAGGTAGAGCGTGATCTAGCGAGCATTGGGCATGACCGAGGATGGAGAGCGGCAGCCGCAAACCGAGTATTGTGGCGTACTATTGTTGATTATGTCTTATCTTAAATGTGATGTTGTACAAATAAATGTATGTATGTACTCTGTGTTTTCATTGAAAATACACTTGAGAGCGCTCTGTGATTTTTTTTTTAATTTTTAAGTGTGAAGCTAGAAAATTTAACCGAAGATTGAAGTTTTTAGAAGCTTTTGAATGAGGTTATTTTTTTGATATTTAAGTTTTAATCACTGTTGTCACAGGAGTGAAAATCGCTCTTCAAAATTTCGGTGATGTATATAGCAAACTCCAAATTTGCGTTAGGTTTGATTTTAGCTAGAAGTGTTTTATTTTTAGTTAATATTAAGGTATGACTTCGTTACTTCATTTACAAATTTTATTCCTTTTAACGTGTTCGGTTCACTCTGTAGTCTGTGTGTTTGTTGTTTGTTTAGCATCTATGTTCAGTTAATTTATAGTGGCCCTTCTTACGAGTGTCACTTCCCGGTGAAAACGAAGTGAAGCGACAAGTACAACTTATCACTTACGGTGAAGTGATTCCCATTTGATTGACTTGGCAATCACTTCACCATTAGTGACAAGTGGTCACTTCACTTCGTTTTCACCGTGAAGTGACATCGGTTATAAGGGTCAGTAATTAGTTCATAGATAAGATCATTAGAATCTTAATTATCTTACAACTCATTTCAATAATACTAACAATTTTAATTCACTGAGTAACTATTAACTATCAAATAAGTCTACACCGAACTATATATTTTGTGCTATTGTTCACATTAAGTTTTTACTGTCCATTTCCCAGATTGTAAATTGACAGGTCCACTTAACGTCATCTTCTTTACCATTCCGTTACATTCCGTTTTGAAGCGGCGTTGCAGCGCAAGATGTGTGTTGGCTAGCTGGACAATTTTGCGAACAATCATTGTTTTAAATTTTTATCCCAAAATTTCATGATTTATTTTACCGTGTAAATTATTCCTGGAAAGAAATTAGTTGTCCCTACAACTTAGCCTCAAACGTCATTTTGATTGGAAGTGACGTGTTCAAGTTATAATTTGGTGAAACATTTCGAATACGCCATTTTGAAGTTTATTACGAGATTCAAAGCGGCCAAATTGTAGCTCAAATGTGAATGATTGACTATATTTATCAATTATGCAAAGAAGTGGAAGAGCTCTATATCCATCAACTTTGTAATCGCTCACTCATTCACGCTGGAAGAAATAAATATCTGATTATTTGCCAGTCTTCTAGCTGTGTTATCTTTGAAATAGCATCCTGAAAAAAAAAAATCAAAAACAAGGAATTCTAAAGATTTATAAAAAAAACACTGGAAATGCAACCGATATTAATTGTAAACCTTTGTTTATTAACTAATCCTTATTGTATCTTACAATCTATCTGAAAACTCAATCAAAAGCCTTCCTTCCACTTGAAAGATTTCGAGAACAAGTCAGCATCCGTTGAGCAGTACTAGACTCATACGACCCATGACTCTAGTATTGCCCATCGCGCAAAGTTGCTACACCTCACTCCCATCCATTCTACAGCTTCTCAATGTTCAGCCACAGCCCCCCTTCGGAAGCGAGAATCGTACTGTTTGCCATAATCTTCAACGGACTTGGCGTTTTCGACGACAGGGTAAAGCGGAAATGTTTCAACAGGTACGCCAATCCAACACGGGCTTGCATCATTCCAAAGCGAAGACCTATGCACATTCGGGGACCTTCACCGAAGGGAACGAATGCCATCTGGTGACGTTTGGTCGTTGCTTCTGGGCTGAACCGATCCGGGTCGAACTTTTCCGGTTCCGGATAGTACTGCGAATCGTGGTGGATGGCATACACCGGCAGGAGTACGCGGTAGCCTTGCTCCAGGGTGACGTTCATATCCGGGACGTGGTACGGCTTGGTTACGTTCCGTAGGATGTTTGGCAAAGGTGGGTACTTGCGGAGAGATTCTGCGGAAATGATAATTTTAATTTATTTTTTTCATATCGAAATGACTGTTTTCAACTTACCATTTATACAATTTTCGATGTATCTCATTTCGTGCACCGCTTCGTAGCTCATTGAGCCATGTTTGGCGAACAATTCTTCTACATTTTGCCGAGCTTTGTCCTGAAGTTCTTGGTTTATGGCCAGCTCATACAAGCAGAAAGACATCGCCGTGGAGGACGTTTCGAAGCCAGCAACGAAGAATACAAACGATTGTGCTGCGATCTCGTTGAACGTCAATCCTCCCTGCTGACTCGAACCCCCTTCCTCGATGGGCACCGCATTCTTCAACTTGATCAGCAAGTCCATGAAGTCATTTCGCTGGACATTCGTCCGCTCACGGTACTCGATCGTGTCTCGCACTGCATTCATAAAAAAGTTAGCCACCTCCGGATCGGAAAGCCTCACTCCAAGCAACTTGGCCAAATCTCTAAACGTTATACTCAGAATCCTCCGCAGGAACCCCATCGGAGTTGTGCTCAAGATTTTTCTTCCCATTTCCCTAAACTTCGCCTTAGGATCTTTCAAACTGTTGCACTCCAGTCCAAAAGCACAGCTTCCAATCACATCCGTAGTGAATCGTGCCAAAAAATCCTTCATCTCGATTTCACCTCCCTTTGCCACCTCGTTCTCCATACAATTCCGGAACTCTTCAGCTACTGCGGTTATCGTAGGGAACATCATTTTCATCTTACCGGAAGTGAATGTTGGCGTCAGCTTGGTCCTCAGATTCTTCCACTTGGTGCCCTCCATCGTGACCAAATGGGTCGTAATTGGATCCGCCTTTTCGTTGCTGTATACTCCTCGATCGTGAAAGTATTGAAAGTCCTTCACAAACACATCTTTGGCAAAGTCCAAATCCAGAATTATCACCGCCGGGTTAACGAAGAAGAACATTCCTCCCAACTTGGCTCCCGTAGTGGCCTTCAATGTTGAGTACACCTCCTGAGCCATCTTTCCAAAATGGTATTTGTTCAAGCCATTCAGATTTCCGTACGGGAAGGTGGGCTCAACGTACGGCACACCTCGTTGCTTCCAGTAGGAAAATCTCCGGCTGACCCAGAAGTAGGTCAACGTGACCACGGTCAATAGTAGGTAGAACCACATGCTTTTGCTGTTGCGATTGTGGATTAACGTAGCTCACTCGGCGCTGGTGCTGTCCTAATGTGACGAATGTGCTAATTGAACGAGCTCTTTTATCACACCCGTCGATGGGGGTGAAATATGAAGCCGAAGTGGTTTTCAGATAACTGTTCGCTGATTGTACATATAGTGCCAAATAGAGATTGTTATTATCTGGCGGGTGTGGCACTCCGTCGCGGTGCAGAAGCATTGGAAGAGGAAGGGGTTTGGTTGTGACTCAGTTCCAACTGATAACGGAGATTTCATGCCTTGTAATGGTGGGTTTGCAATTTGTGTTGGGTATGAATCGTCATTTCACGCTGAAAACAAGTGGCTTCTATTCGTTACAAAACAGTAATTATGTTAAACTTAGTTGTAAACATGGTATTTCAACAGATGATCTGTCTGTCTGTCTGTCTGTCTGTCTGTCTGTCTGTCTGTCTGTCTGTCTGTCTGTCTGTCTGTCTGTCTGTCTGTCTGTCTGTCTGTCTGTCTGTCTGTCTGTCTGTCTGTCTGTCTGTCTGTCTGTCTGTCTGTCTGTCTGTCTGTCTGTCTGTCTGTCTGTCTGTCTGTCTGTCTGTCTGTCTGTCTGTCTGTCTGTCTGTCTGTCTGTCTGTCTGTCTGTCTGTCTGTCTGTCTGTCTGTCTGTCTGTCTGTCTGTCTGTCTGTCTGTCTGTCTGTCTGTCTGTCTGTCTGTCTGTCTGTCTGTCTGTCTGTCTGTCTGTCTGTCTGTCTGTCTGTCTGTCTGTCTGTCTGTCTGTCTGTCTGTCTGTCTGTCTGTCTGTCTGTCTGTCTGTCTGTCTGTCTGTCTGTCTGTCTGTCTGTCTGTCTGTCTGTCTGTCTGTCTGTCTGTCTGTCTGTCTGTCTGTCTGTCTGTCTGTCTGTCTGTCTGTCTGTCTGTCTGTCTGTCTGTCTGTCTGTCTGTCTGTCTGTCTGTCTGTCTGTCTGTCTGTCTGTCTGTCTGTCTGTCTGTCTGTCTGTCTGTCTGTCTGTCTGT